CCAGTGATCATCCAATGTATGAAATCCAGTCCTGCAGGTCAGTCGTGGCCGAATAGCTCAGAGGTAACGTCGCTGACTGGAACACTGGGTGACGAGGGTTCAAATCTCACAGGGGAAATCAGTTCCTTCAAGGTTTCAGAAACGCCCTGCTGACAACTGCCAACAACCATGGAAAACAGGTCCAAGACTTCCTGCCGATTACCTCCAACCAACTAACATTCACTAAAGCCAGTCAGTCTCCTAGCTCAGTGGCCACACTCAGGACTAGACAACACGGATTGGTTGCTCTCTAGTGATCAATATATTATTCATTAATACCTGAGTATGCATTGAAAAAGGAGATAAGTTAAGTAATAAAGAATCTCAGATAACTTTCTTCAGTTCAACAGACGGAAGATCATCTAAATGAAGAAGAACACTATAAATCTACATATTACACAGTAAAACAGTATTATTTAGTCGATTACATTTCAGGCATTTATAATCCTACTAAAGTGATAATCACATAACTTTCTCATTTAGTTTTTATAGTTCGATTGTTTTTCATTCTTTGGTTTATTTGATGATAAAATTTTTCACATGAGAAGATTTGGTGTTGCTCCGCATCTCTACTATATTTTGTAGGTGTCAATTGGATAAGTAAAGCTTCAGTTATCAAATCTCACTTTCCATTCAACCGAGTTATTACTTAAACTGTCACTCTATTCTATCCCATTGCGTAATTGTATGTGACAATATACATGGCTATGGTTGAGCTCAGTCATGCTTATCGAAATGACACCTGAAATATGCAATAAAAAACGATGTAACACTGGAAAATTTTACTACTAATTACGTGAAAGAATGAAAAACAATAAAACTATGAAGCTAGACCAGAAAGTTGTATAATTACTTTGATATGATTATGAGTAATAAATTCTACTGGAAACGTCATGAGTGAATAATACTGTTTCACTGTGTGGTAAACATTTTTTTTTGAAAAAACTGCAGTGGAATTATTCTCTACCACAGAGCACAAATTCTACTCTCATGTTCATAAAACCATACGGATTAAGTATTATAACTGACTGGGGTTAAACATGTATAGAATGATGCCATATTCAAGATCATAAGTGAAGCAGAGAGGTAGAGAACTAACAGAACTGTGATTAATTATAAAGGATGTTTATTTTTTATTGAACAACAAGAGTACTTAGAAACCATTCGTGCTTATCTGTAGATTTTGCTAACCAAAACATATTGGCCTAAACATTACTGCCAAGTTCAGTACTAAAACAAGAGAAACGATCGTTAGGTGTTGTAAATCACTCTGATTTCTCTAGTGAAATCCACAAATCAGTGTGATTGATTTCTAAATATTCAAGTTGTTTAGTAGCATATTTTGATAGTTCGTAACACTTTTGTGTCAGAGCTCACACTTAATAATCATGGCTGGTTGATTTCCCGTGGAAGCCCTAATGACACTACATTTAGGTAGCTGATAAACTACTTTGCTGTGAGAAATATTAACATGAACCGTGGAATTTGTAAATCATTTGCAAACTAATGTTTATTTTACAGTTCTTACTCGTGATGGTCACTCCGATCCCCAAATGTAGTTTGAAGTTTATGGGGATTGATGTCCCATTCATCATGGATTGACATCAGTTAGAGAACCATTACATGGAAAACCTAGGAGCCAGTGGATAGCTATTTCATATGAGACTCCTTAGCAGTACGCACCCACTCACTGCTGGTATACCAACTGATTTAAGTCCGTGATGAATACTACTTTATATATATAAGCCTTGAAAATTCTCGATTTAGCGCGTTTATTTAGTCAGGTATCTACAAATATAATTACGTAGTTATCTAGAAACCTTTTATTACACCTGATTGGTTCTGAATGTTTCTGGTGATTTCTGTTCCATATAAGGATCTACAGAAAAGATATTAAGCATCCCAACCACCAAGTTACAATGAGCTAGACTATGAGACCAATGAGTTGTCTAGCTGAGAAATGAGTCCACGTAAAGTAACTGATCACACTTCAGTCTTCAAGGAAATCGCTGATTGAGATCATTAAATCAACCAGTAAGTAATAAATACCAACATAGGAAACAAACTTCTTACAGGCATTTGCATATCCTTGCCCCTTTATACACACCTACCTATGCAGTAATCACCATGATTTCCTGCCACCACCATCAACATATTGCTAATTTATTGCTTGTGTAACTGATTATAATGCATAGCCTTGAAACAGAATAAACTCATTTCACTCTACAAATTTGAACAAAGGAAAAAGATGTGTGGAAAGAAACTACAAGGAACTTAAGAGGGGGTATTTATTGTGACATTGATGACTTAGTGTTACTTAGCTACAGAACATTACCCTAAATATTTATGCTTAAGTAGAATGTCAATTAGCGGAACTAAAATTCTGTTTACGTGCATTGCGAGTTTCATCACATTTTAGTAAGCAAATACACACATACATACATACATACATACATACATACATACATACATACATGAGAGCACATTCTTAGGCATATCACATTGAATAGCTTAGCTGTAGTCGTTAAAGAAAGATAATTAACATTTCAAATAAAAAAGTCATTGATTCATCAGTGACACACTTTCTTAAATATTACAGCATTACTAACTTCCCCCTCCCCTTAAATAACACCTTGGTAAGCACTCGTTCACGCAATGCTGGTCACATGCACCTTCATACAAAACAAATACATTCACCAGTACTTAGACACACACACACACACACAAAGAGGTACTTCTGGAAGACTATCCTCCAATGAATAACCTGTTAAAATATCTCTAGGTTTCTCTCACAAAATATTGATTTCTCTATTTTCTTACCTTTTATAGCATGACCTCAGAATATAATAAATTATTACTACCATTGTTAATTACGAACAAAAAGGATTCTTTTCAGTTAGAAAACATTGGTGAAATTATGAGATGTATTGATCGCTTCCAGGATCATTAGCATATAAAATGTAATCAATACATACTAACTAATAATAGAAATATACGAATAAGGTGTGTTTCAATAGACTGAAACACAGCTAAGGTATATATATATATATATATATATATATATATATATATATATATATATATATATATATTCATTACTACTTGTTGACACTTGCAACTCCCCATTGTTACAGTGAATCGAATAGACCGACCTCTGTTGACATATGGGCTCCTCCTGTGTGGATGCCTCGATATTGCCAGAATGTTATTTGTTATAACAACTTATTAGATGATGACTAGCAGTCCAATCCAGGATGTGTATTTCATCTTATTTGCGACTCGTCAGCTGGATGTACCCACACGATAGTTAGTGATGCTGTTCTCACTGAGGCTTGAATCAAGTGCCCACCATTTCAAATGCCAAGGTATTATCCACTAGCTTCCTGATACCCATTGCACAAGAGGTGGTTGTCGTGCCTCAATGGCCTACTGGACAACGCTCTGACGTTTGAAGAGATGAGTACGAGATTCGAGTCTTAGTGTGAACACCATCACTCACTGGTGTCCAGGTACGTCTCGTTGATGAATCCTAAACAAGACGAAACGCACACCCTGGATTCCACTGCCAAACCTCACCAAGGGAATCATTATATATATTTGAGACCATCTATTTTATTCTTAAACTGTGCTGTCTTGAAACGAATCAGTTGGTAATCAATGGCGGATATAAGTAACTTGTAACGGCTCACTTAAGCTGATTAGACAGGGGTTAAAAGGTGGTCACAATGGATGAGGGTTGTCTTTTATGAGCTACAAAGGCCAAAGCATTTGCCAAGCAACTCCCACGAATACGAGGTTGTGCACAACAGGATCGCTACTAGTTTTCACTGTTTCATTCACTTATCTAGAAACTACTTACGACTTATCTGATCTCAGGCTAGTAATGTCAAACACCATGCATTTATTATGTGTAGCATTAGTGCTGAAGTACATCTTCTTGGTTCTGTTGGTCTCAACCGTTTGTGAAATATAGAAGCTCCCTGCAACCACCATAGTCAAAATACTTCGAGTTAATCATGAAAGAAGGTATCCCTGCATCCATTGCTTCAAGAAATGACTTCATGAGCTAAGGTCATTGCATTACAAAACTGAATAAACAATAGTAAGAATTTGAAATTTTTAGAAGGCGCTGAACTAGATGAACCTTAAACAACAGCGCACAAGAGGTAGAACAGCTTAGAAATTAATATTGAGGGTAGACATTTAGCGTTAATTAAAGGCGGCAAATCACTTCAGGTGGATATAATCGAATGCATATTTTGCATAGTTAGTCACGATCTAAAAATTCTAAATCTATGTTAGGGTATCAGAATCAATGAGATGGTATGAGTAAGTCATGAAGCGAACCCGTGAAATAATCTCTGGTCTTAGCTGTATGGGTAAATATCACCATGGTTGTGTTGTGTTTCTCTGAACTTCATGGTTTAATCTTGAAGGTTCTATTACCTATCTACACAATATCATCAGCAACAACCTGAGCCTACAGCTAATGTTGGTGATATTGTCTAGAAAGAAAATGGAAGCTTCAGGATTAAACCATTCAGGTCAGAAAAAGTAATACAGCTAAGATCATCCATGTGAGCGATAAATATTCTCCATTACTTCAAAATATGGTCGTGTTAGATTGAGTTCGTGAGACGAGGCACGCATGTGAACAGAGACCTTCGTAAGTGTTAACTAGAAAGGATACTGGTACAAGCGAATCATATCATGCTCCACCTACTTAACTGTTTGCTTTTCACCTTTCACTACCTAAAGTTGTTTTTACTGCTCTACCTCACGTCTTGACTATCGCTTTCATCACTCTTAAAATATGCAAAAACTTGACTGAACAAAGAACTTTACTAGATTCTTTCTTATACCCCTAAATAACATTAGTAATCTAAAAATATAAGTGTATGAATAAGATGAAAATACAACTACAGAATAATACTTTATTAGTTGAAAATATAGAGACCTACCCTCCAATCACTGACATCTGTTCGATTCTCCACATACTTGACTTCTTGTCGCTTTAAAACCCTTTCAGTCTCCGAACTGCTCGTTTCATGTAGTTTGGGACGTTGTATCACTGGTTCTGCATGACTGTTCGCAACAATTTCTGTTACATGCAAGTCTTCAATACTACTGGCATCACTAATACTCGTAGTCATACTTGCATTGTCAACTGTAGACGGTTGAGGAGGTTGTGATGCAGGTGGGTTATTGCGTAATACATAGATCTCTCTATCTCGATTGCTATTTGACAAGTCGAAAGCTGCAGCAGTTTCATTTGTCTGTATGTTGATGTTATTGCTGCTAGTATTATTATTGTTGCTTGAATTTGCTGCTGCGTTTTCACCCTGTTGATTTGCATTAGGTCGGCTTGTGTTCGACACAGTATTTGTCAAAAGGGAATCATGCATTCCAGAGCTATCATCGACGTACCGATGAGGAATCAAATCAGTTTGTAAACGTCTTAATTGACTCTGATATGGATATCTTACTTGAATAACCTGTGTTGCTCTAGACATGTGGGGGGGATTTATTCGCGGCTGAGATCGAATAACCTGCGAAACGCGGTCGGAAGTATCTTCATTTGGGGAACGTAGAGAAAGCGTTTGTGCAGTAGTAAGTGTTGATGGCTGTTGAAGAGGATTTCGGTTTGTTGGATTTGTAAAAATAATAGGTCGGTCACCAGGATCATCACTCAAGGGAATTGGAAATGGACTGTTCGAGTTCCGGAAACTGGAACCCTCAAGTCCTAACCGACGACGTTGTTGTGAATTTTCTAAATCTGCTGATAACCTATGAGTTCGATTTCTTGTTCTACGAGAACGAAGTAAACCTAACATTGGTACTAAAACTAAATTTTGTCGTTCAACCAATGTATCCTGACTTAGTCCATTACTTCTATCGTGAAATGATCTACGAATCTGATCCGTAATTCTATCATCAAGTGGTAAGTTGAGTTGATGTAAGTGAGTATGACTTGCTCCTGAACGTAAACGAATATTTCTTGCTAGACATAAAATAATAAAAATGAAGTAGGTAAACAGTTTTCATATTCAATGTCTTAGTTCATTGTACAAGATAGATAATAATTAAATAAGAACTTAGTTTTATTGCACATTCATATACTATTATGGAAACGTTCATATTGATCAGAGAAGTATAGCAGGATGATTTCTTTTCAATAATAAATAACATGTTGCATTGCTTATATATTGATCAGCTGAACTGATCCATTCTGTCATCTAGTAACAATCATTTCCTAGTCATGATTAAACTTTCCAAGATCTAACTACACTTAATGGTCTTATCTGTATGAAACTATACATCAAATGAAAAATAGATAAACTTGATCTTCATAGTCATAAGCATTTTCGGCCTCTTTGAAATCTATACACATAACATACACTTATTCTTGAAACTACAAAAATACAAATAAACTATCAACAGAGAACCTAATCAGTTTATCACTCTGTTTACATCAACTTGGATGTAACAGAAACATTTGTAGCATTCAAACTATGTGTAATATCTGAGTGGTAGTTGATAAAGAAAACAAAATATCATTTGTATGATGTTTATATGTCTCTATTAAGCTTTAACCTATGCTTAAGATCATATACTAAATCAACTATTCAATTTGATAATGATAATTAAGTTATGCACTTTAACGTTGATCATTGTTGTAATGTCTCTGTTTCAACACGCTTAAAAAGTTCTTACAAAACACTTTTATAACGATAGAAATATCTTAGTCATTTCAACTATCTTTTTAATAATCAACGATTTGTTGGGCATAAACTGAGGTCCAACAACTTATGAAAGTGAAATTCACTTGAGGATTTATGCTAAAAATATATTTATTACCTAATGATAACCAAAGTATGTATCAATTTAAAACGATACTAATTAAAATCGAATAGTCAGGTATGCAGTGTAACTACTGAACAAAGTTATAAGAGAAATTGATACACACCTGTAACAAAACTATAGCAGCCTAATAATATACATTGATACACTATGAATAATAACATACCACTAGCACTTCTTTGAAAATAAATCCAACTTGATCATTCAGCTGATTCTGTGAACGATAATGTCTTGGACTTGGTTCATTCAAATAGATTATATTTCTATCATCTTCATAGCGTGGTGATAAATCTTGATGTCTCCTATGTCTACATGATGTATTACACTGATGTCGTCGTTCATGTAAATAAGATTCAGGTGAATCTTGGGCTGTCGGTGAATGATTCGATGTTGAATCATCACTTCTACCATTTCGTTGATTCTGTTCTACTTGTTGTCTTTGTTCTTGTTGCAACCGTTGTTGTTGTTGTTGAGACTGTTGCTCAGACATCATTGATTGTTGCGTTCTATTCAAATTTAGTATAATAACATATTCAGAGGAATATTTGACTTTTCAGTTGTTTCGAAGGATGTATGTAACATGTACTTGAGAACAATAGAAAATCAGTAGTATTGATGGGAAAATTGAAAAACTGAAAGCAAAATAATGACATTATAAAGCTGGTATATATATATATATATATATATATATATATATATATATATATATATATATATATAAATTGATAAAAATTCGTAACCCAACTTATGCAGTGTAATCTCCACAAATCTCTTGATGGGATACTCATATGCAATCTAAATTACACAACAGTAAACTACACTTTATGCAACAAACAGTTGAAGAATGCAACATGTGAGTGCTGACAATAGTTGACTGGCTATTACACAGAATGACTAATTTTTCATAGCTAAAAGGATCATATCTAGGGTATGTCTATCTCTCAGCAGCTGTCAAGCAGGAAATCGCTCGGCTAAAAACTATTTACCAGCTTAGCGCAACCCCAATCAACTTGTGAAATGAGAAGTTGGGGATGACACAGAGAAATTAATTTTTAATTGAGATTTACATTACTGTTATTAATTAGATGATGGCTTTGCAGGAAAAGGTGTAGAGTTCTGTGACACTGCAAGCAGCAACAAGCTTATTTTCTAATCACTCCCATATCTATGATTGATTATATGGTGCTATTCTGTATTGTCTAGCCCTTAAAACAATCTTGCATGATATGTTATACAGATAGATAAGATAACTATTCATCCTTAAATTTCTTTTCTCTACAACATTAAAAAACTATTACTCAATTTTAAAAGTCTTTTGTTGAAATGCAAGGAATAAGATAAAATTCAAACCACTTCCTTTTTGATTAACTTGGTCTATGGTGAAAACATTTTTCATGGTATCCGCGTGTTCAGTGGAAAATCATAAAAGGGGAAAATCACTACTTTCAACTTAGTTTTACCTTCCCTTTCAACTGTATTAAGTACAGAAACAGTTGCTAGTCTGTTAGCAAAACTTCATGCAGATTATGTTCTGTTACCAGAATCCGAGATAGATGATGACAACAATCTGAATAGAAGTTAAAAATCACAACATGAACATGGTATTCCACAACTTGCAGGTCCCAGTTAGATGGTCACTGGAAGAACATAACATGGTCTGAGTACAAAAGAAACCAGGTTGCTTGAATGGCTTATTTGAAGTTTCACTCAACAATTATAAATCAATCTTCAATATTATGCTCTACCATAAATTATGTTTTGACAAATTTTACCACAATATCAGATGAAAAACGAACGATGATAATTGTGGTTATTTAAACTAGCTAATTCGTCAAATCAGTAACTATACTCAGCAAAAAGCTATACCTCTTGTACAAGGAGAAACAATGCACTCTAGGCAGCTTAAGTAAGATGGGTTATCAAACTGAAACCCTTTAATTGGGAGCTTACCAACCGTACCTGTAACGCACAGTTTCTAATTTGATGAATACTATTTGTTCTGAACAGCTTATCACCGACTATATTGGATTTCTCAACTTAAGTGCATAAATATGCGTTTCAATATCTGTAAATTTTGTTTTCATATCCTTAGTCATTGGGAATTTTTAATAAAGGATTCCTAAAATCTTCTTAAACTGTATAAATGGTCAACTTTAAGAGATAGCAATTAATTTCCGCTGAAGTTTATCAGTATAATATACTAAGTTATTATTGTAAAATCAGTGACAGAAAGCATCTACAGAGATGCAGATAACTTGGCAAAATGTAACTCGGTAAAAATGAGGTAAACTAGATAACGATATTATCTTTAACGAAAGTCACCTTGATAAAATGTATAAGTGAAAAATGATTTCGATCTGTCGAGATTCATAAATAATGAATAAATGTACATATGGGTCATGATAAATATCTCTTCAAAATAAACATTCCTACTATAATTACACGTATCAAAGAACAACTGATACCCGTTGCACAAGAGGTGGCTCCTATGCCCCAGTAACCTAGTGGATAAAACTTTGGCGTTTGAAGCGATGGGTACTGGGTTTCAGTCTTGATGAGAACCAAATCACTCACTGGGGTGGAAGTACATCCACCCGACGAATCCCAAACAGGACGAAGCATGCGCGTCCTGGAGTCCACTGCTCATCATTAAGATGAGTACAACATTCCTCCCGTAACTTTGTATTCATCTTACTTGTTACATCAATAATAAGTAACTTGAAAGAATGCAGCATTTTTACCACGCGTGTCAATGCAAATTTGTAGTCCCATTTCAAACAAAAGGCTTCTATGCATATAAATGAGATGTATGATATAGTTTTATGAAGGCGCTTGAGTCAACTAAATTGTGAATGAATCAATGTAAACATTTGTAAGTAGAATGTGAAAACTGTGACTGTTTTGCTGAGATTCGAGTAACATTTCACTATCTAACTGAGATCATTACTGCATGCTTCTGACCAGCTGTTTGCAACTATGATGTCAATAGTTTGGATCATGAAATTTCGGACACAGAAGTACCACAACAAGATAAGGAATACATCAACATACAATATGACTAGTCGGTTTTCCCTCATGCAGATCAACAGTGTTGGATAATCAAATTAGACTGATAAATATAAAAAAACGTTTGTTTCAATTTTCTGAGATACCCATGACTAGCAAATAAACCCAGAGATATTCAACTAAAGTACTCAAAATACTCAAAAGGAGTCAACAGATGCTTACAGAATGTTTACACGACTGACAGTTTCACATCTAACCAGGCTTACTTCAGAATCCATGTACAACTCATTAGTTATTCAAACATTCGGTATAGTCTCATTTTTGGACATTTTAAAAACTTATGAACTCGATACCACTTCATACATTTAGTGACGTGAGTTTTAGTAACACTATACTACTGTATATCTTAGTAATTTAGAGAACTTAGTGTGTAACTGAGTGAAATGATTCAACATAAGTGAATACTTGAAGTAAATAGATTATACCTTATGGTTTAAATTATCTTCTGAAAGAGCAATACCAACGTTTGTTTGTTTTTTGGAAATCGTGTATAGGAAACAATTCCGTTGAAAAATGATGAAAAGCAGGTCAAAGTAAATATAAGCGAAACATATTTCTAATCAACTAAGTCTTATACGAATTCATCTTTTGGTTATTTTAACTAAAAAGATATTTAAAAAATACTTTACAGATAGATGAAATAGATCAAATACATCTCAGTATGTAGATGGGGTCGATCAAACAACATTGTGACAGGAAAAGATGCTATTCTATTGTTCAAAAATGAAAACATTACGTTTAGACACATGACCTGATAATGAACAACTATGCATCAAGATCAGTGAGTTAGAATTTCATGCATAGAAGCAAGTTTCAGTATAATTCCAAAGTGTTTGTTGATATTCTGCTGAAGAAACTGAAGTATATACGACAAAATGTTTAGAAGAATCATGTTTTGATTTTCTAAACACAATGGGATATCACATAACTTAATTGTATAATAATTAAATCGAGTTCAGCCCCTCAAATTCTTACAGGACATTGAGAAGTCTTAGTTATTAAAATGAAGCTCAACACGTCTTTAAGTTGCCGAGACTCAATCAGGTCGACTGCATCACTTAATAACCCCAAATCCTTGTGCTTAGCATACCCTTGTATACAAAACGTGTCTTGAGTAGTTTTCATGCTAGGTCAAACAACAGACGATAATTATTTTCATGATATCACTCACAATAGTTAATATCAATGTCATGATGCAATCAACAGCATAACAGATCATTTGAACTTTAAATATAGGCCACCAAAGCTACTATTTCAACCACTGTATCTATCACCATTTAGCGGTATGATTTCTGTGTAGACGTAAGTAGATAAAAATGTCTGATGATATCAATCTTTAAAAAAAACATAAAAATAATATTTCAAGGGGGTTGTAGGGATTTAGAAATATTTCCAAGTTAATATTCATCGTAGACTGACATCAGTAGGAGGAACAATGGGAACCTAGGAGCACTGAACAGCTGTTTCGTCCTAGTATGGGACCCCTCAGCAGTGCGCACCCACGATCCCACTAGGGATCGAACCCGCAACCTTCAGATTCCGTGGCCAGCACGTTACCATTGAGCCACTGGGTTGGAATCCAATGGTCCATATTTTCAATAATAGTGAGTTTGATAAAAAGCGAAGTCTTTGACAAACAAGTGACGTCTGACGATACATCAGCCTCTAGAACGCAGCCAAATAAAGAATAAGCGCTCCACTATCATGAGGTCAACCAAGTGAACGCGTCGAATATCTTAAAATTTTGTCATAGCTATCCCTATACCCAGCGGTTAACATCATTAGCAATATAAAGAGACAAAAACTGAATTTGACAAGCGGCTGAAAATTTACAACCTGACTGATCTCAACTGTTTCGCAAGTCTGAATCGACCAAATATGATAGATTTGAAGAGTGAAAACTAGTAGCGATCTTGTACTAGTGGTAAGTGATATATATATTTAAGATATTTAAAAATGCGTCATTCTGTTTCGTCCTTAACTTCGACTAAAAGTACAACTCGATGTAATTTATCAGGATTATATGCCTGTTTCCATGCTTAGTTAAATTTGCCTATCAAACTGTACTCTCTTTGGGTAACTTTAACAATGGATTTCACCAAAAGAATACTTAATGGATGTCTACATCAACTGAGTGTACTTTTAATCCAAGCACTTTCGTTTTTTCTGAAACTTTCTGTACCTGAACTAAACTGTCTATTTTGTTTTTCCATACCAAAGTATATATGTAAGTTAAAAGTAAAAATGAGATTTATAAAACGCCATAACTGATGAGCTGAGGCTTGAAGCAAGCTAAAGCTCTAGAATTATCCACTATTCATTGCAATCAGATTTCCTAGTGAATATATCAATTCCGATATCCTTTCAAATGGGTTTGATTGTGGTTTGATGACGTCGAAAATCCTCTTTACCTGAACAACTGACTCA